TCTTGCTTAAAGCTATTTGTAAATAATTTCTAATACTTTTCAGTAGAGTCGTTCTTGGCTGTATGCATGTAGTAAATAGAAAACCACTAACTCAGAGTCTCTTTACATGCAAAAGACATGGGCTCTGCTGATCGACGTCAGAGGTGACTGTTTTTCTTCCTCAAGCATTGGAGACTAAGTGAACAAGATCAGACATCATCCATCTAGAGTAAAAAAGGAGAAGAACTAAGAGGTGGGAGGCTAGGTGGGGGCTTGCAGAGGCTTACCAGTTACCACCAGTTTTCATCTTCGGCGGCGGCAACAACTTGCGTTCTTCCTTGGCGTCCAAGAACTACAGCCCAATCTCTACCTCTGAGTCGGTGCACTCGGATGCGGAGCGGCTGCTCATGATGGCGGACATGATCCCAACCGCCGGGGCAGGGATGGGTGTTACGCATCAGAGGAGGAGGGTATGCCCTACGGGTCAGGTTCTCCATGGTGGCCATAACCGAGGAGAGAGGGCCTGGCCCGTGCGGTGCCGAGGGCGAGGGCTGCATGCGGGCAGGAAGGCTGGAGAGAGATGGGCTTCGGGGAGTGCGGCGGTGGTGATGAGAAGCGGGGAGGATGGAGAGTCGGGGAGTTGGGGTCGGAGCGCCAGGGAGGGGCGGGGCTGCTCCGGCGGGGACCAACGGCGAGCAGATCCAGGGGCGGGGCGGCTCCCGCGGCTTCTCCCGCGGGCGGCGGCTGCAGTGGCGAGCAGCTGCTCCCGAGGCGAAGGGCGGCTGCTCCCGCGGCGAAGGGCGGTTAACGGCTGCCGGAGTTTGCGGGGCGGCGAACGGCGCGGGAGGAGGAGGTGGAGGTCGTGCGCGCAGGAGCGAGAGTCGTGCGAAGAGGGAGGTGCGGGCAGGGGCGAGAGTCATGTGATTAACTGCGGGGCTGGGTTATCGATCAATGGCTTGTTAGTGGCTTAATGCGTGGTTTGCAGCGTTAAACACCGAAGGATTAAGGGTCATTGGATTTTGCTGATGGATGGATGAGATTGTTTGGACCTGCCCCTCTCTTCCTTTTATAGGGGTAGTAGATAAAACGTGTGTCCAAATCTCGAGCAATTTTCACCATTGGATTCCTCGCATCGAGATCTCCAAAACTAGATCCCATGCTGATAGTTTTTGACGAACTTGGTTTTTTTTTCTTTCCGAAAGAGGCACGCTCATGCCTCTCGCGAAATCACAACCCTGCCTATCACGGAAGAAAAACCATGCCTCTCGGGGAAGGATAAAAACAGAAAATGCGTATCTATTTTTTCCGTTTTCGAGAGGCACGTCCTTGCCTCTCGTGAAAGTACAAACGTACCTCTCGCGGAAGAAAAAAAACCATGCCTCTCGCAAAAACACAACCGTGACTCTCGCGAAAGCACAACCATGCCTCTCGCAAAAGCAAAACCATGCCTCTCGCGGAAGGAGGAAAAAAAACACGTTTTTTCTGTTTTCGAGAGGCACTGCCTCTCGCGAAAGCACACCCATGCCTCTTGCGGAAGCAAAACCGTGTCTATCGCCAAAGCGAAACCGTGACTCTCGTGAAAGAAAAAAAAACACGTTTTTTTGTGCTTCAATTTGGTTGTTTATCCAAAAGCTAAGGAAGACCGGTGAAAAATCAAAACGTCGAAAAAAACCAATTTAAAAAGCCGAAAACACGTGTGAAGAAATAAAAAAAAATCGAAGGGAGCGCCCAGAATGCGACACATGGCGGATGGCTGAGAGCGCGCCAAGTGGCGCTGATCGTTGCTAAAAAAAATCTGCACGCGACATTCCATGGGCTGCATAGACTGGGCCTTCTAGGCCCGCATGAGGCAGGGGCCTGCTCATACCCTTCCTCCTCCGTATTGCTAAAAAAAAAACATTCCTCCTCCGAGAAAAAAAAAACCGTTCTCCTCCAGCCGTTGCCGGCGGCGCCCCCATCCGCGGCGAAGTCGCCGGCGAAGTGGGTCATCTGGCCGCAGGGCATTTCCGTCGCCCAGTACCACATATTTCCACCGCGCTCCATCAGCAGCCGCGCCGCCCCTAATCGCCGGCCTCCAGCGAGGGGAACCGCGTTGCCGTCTTCGGCTAGACCCCCCTCAATCCTCAAGGATAAGGATGGGGATGGGGATGGGGATGAACCACACGAACGCCAGGCAGTTCAATGTATTGCAATCTATGCCATGATTTGGTGCAACGGCATTACATTATATGGTGAACCAAAAACCAAATGGGATTAAATTTGGCATAGCTGATGTTGATGTAGTCATGTGTATATGTCTTGCTGATGTAGTGATGTGTATATGTCTTGGTATGGCAGGACATTTTCATGGCTTGGGTTCATTAGTTGGTGGGTGGTGCAGAGAAAAAACCAATTTTTAGGAGGCATCATTATAGTTGACAAGCTTCCTTAGCAATTCTAGTTCTTGCCCCGTGATTATTTTGTCATGCAGCTTATCTTGGCTATCAAACCATGGACTGTCATCCGAGCTCCTTCTCCTACTCAGCATTTCCAACACAACTGTGCCACAGCCGTAAACATCTGACTTGAAAGATATTGTTCCAAACTTCAGAAAATATTATAGCATTTAAATATTTTCTGAGTACGACAAGTTAAACAGTTGAAAGCCATATTTTCCACCTTTTGAGGAAGCCGAGCCATCTTTTTAGGCATAAGAACTGGATGCACATCACTACCTCCTCTGCCCTCTGGTCACCATTGTATAGCAAATCTCTCATTGTGCAGTTTTTTCTTCTTAAAAGAACTCTGAATTTCAGCAGTCCCCACAAAACGAGACATTTTTCCGAAACAGAAATTCTAGTATTGCAGAAGTTTGTAAAGTCCATTTGTAGCCCTCTTCGCCAAATAAGAAATTTTGTCAGATCTGCATGATGGCTACTCCATGTAAAACTGAAGTACTCCCTCTGTTCCAAAATATAAGTCTTTGTAGTGATTTCACTATGGACTACATACGGAGCAAAATGGATGAATCTACACTCTAAAATGCATCTACATACATCCGTATGTGGTTCATAGTTTAATCTCTCCAAAGACTTATACTCCCTCCGTCCGAAAATACTTGTCATCAAAATGAATAAAAAGGGATGTATCTAAAACTAAAATACATCTCGATACATCCGCTTTTGTTCATTTTGATGACAAGTATTTTCAGACGGAGCGAGTATTTAGGAACGGAGGGAGTATCACATAGGAACTGTGAACCGACAAAGAGAGCTTAGAGACCAATAAAGGAATTCCCTGCCTTCCCAAACTTAGTGGATTATTGTTACTACAAAAAGCACTTGTTGATACTAAACATTTGGTGTTTATTAGTTTCTTGAAGTCTCAGTTTTCTTTCATACGGTGCATCTCTCTGCTTTCTCCGCACATGTGGAAAATTTAAACATGCTATTAATTTCAAGTACAACTAGAAACAGATTTGCAACAGGAGAAACTGGACAAAACAATAAAATTGACTTATTCGTCTGTTGTAGAGGCTCAGAGGCTGCTTGGAATCAGCTCAAGACCAAGATGTCTTTACTGACGAAAATGTCTTATTCACAATGATGGTTCTGCGGTTCCTGTGCAACAGAGAAGGATGGCCAGAGCCATGTTATCTTGGGTTCTCTGGCCAATATGTAAAGAATGCAAACTAGGCATCTTAGTATCTCTGGAGTGCTGAAGCAGCAACATTGACTTCACCGTTGATCAAGTCCTTGAAGTGCCTCCCTTGCTG